TTTTTAACATGTTGCACATGCTGTCGTATGATCATCAGGGGGGGTTGGGGGTGGGGGGTGGAGCGGTGTATTAACGTTCTTGACGAGCACTTCCTTTACGTTACGGAAGATGCACACGTTGCGCATGCTGTCGTATGATCATCAGGGGTGGGGTGGGGGTGGGGGGTGGGGGGGGTGTATTAACGTCCTGACGAGCACTTCCTTTACGTTACGGAAGATGCAAACGTTGCACATGCTGTCAGTTGCGTCAAAGATTATCCCCACAAAAGGTTCAAGTTGGCCCAAGTCAACCACAAACAAAATATCTTTACTAAGACTAAGACTTATCATTTTCGAGGTCGTTTGTGGGATAGATCCTATAGAACCATTGTTGCTGGTGCTCAACAAATGGATGGAACATGGAAACACTTGAAAAAATGGCGACCTCCGTCGATGCTCCACAAAAAAAAAGTGTACCAAAAAAAGGTACACTTGGGCCTACAGCTGGACATGGCGTCACAACGCTGCCTTGTTGCAGACTGTGGTTTCTGCGTTGCCACAAGCGCTCTGGCATCGCTAGCGTCGAGAAGAGGAAAAAACTGGAAGAGTGAATGTCGCCCTGATATGATTCGGATGATTGAAAATCATAAATTAAATTTCTAATGTTTTTTTTTGACCCTTGAAGAGCAAAATCGAGTCACCGCGCAGGCGAAACGCACATTTTCACTCTTGAGTCACACGCCTGCCAATCGAAATGAATGTCCATGTTGCAAACATTTTTTTTGACGACTCCTGCAAATACCAGCATTTTGTCTCTTAGCCTCAAAAATCAGAATTTCGAATTTGTCACCCTTACAAGGGCGCCGAGTCAACCGGTTGCCTTGTTTTAGGGTCTATTTGGGGTTGGTTTAAATTTTTTTTGAGGGGTGGGTATAGGGTCTGTTTAAAGTTTGTCTACTGTTGCGTTAGGGTTGGATTGGGTTTATTTAGGGATCGGTGCGTGCATGTAAACAGTTATAAACAGGCAAATCCATATCATCATTCCAACAACGGCAAGAACACCCTGTCGACTTTGCAAATGGAGAAGGACGGAGCAACAACAGGAGTGATGCATACTCAGGAGATTTGGCACAAAACAGGATGCAAAAGGAACAACCAGAAAATATTGAAGAATTGGGAGAGAAACGGTGCGGAACATATTTTTCTAGAGCATTTGGAGTCTGACAGAATTTTTGCTGGTAGGTGCCTGTCCTACTTTGGCTCAAGATTCTGTACCTTCTTCGATAAATGATGATCAATGCGAATCCTTGTGAAGGGAAAACAGTTGAACCAATCTGAGAGAATTTTACCTACGAAAGTGGAGGACTTGGCTTTGCTGGATGAACTGTATGAATTTGCAGCAAGCTCAGGTTTCGGAAAGCGGCTGGGAAATTTATGACTTAAGCCCAGAATTGCAACTTAGTAACTTTGCATCTTTACGTGTGTGTATTTTTGTGTCTATATCATTCTATATCTATTTCTATGCCTGTGCCTATCTTTATACCAACATCAATCTTTGTACATTTACATATCTGTATATATTAGTAAATCTTTTCTTCCGATGATGTGAGACTATGGGCTGGAAACACCTGCCATGGTGATCAAAAGGCACCAAATCACATCATTGTACCAATTATTCCCTGCCACATGGTGAGCCCCCCCTCACCATGACGTGCGCAAGCTGCCCCCCCCAAAGTCGAAAAGGGACACAACTGAGCACGCTATTGTATGCTATTGTAAGCAAGAAGAATCCATGTCGGTCCAGCTTGTGGCGCGCCACGGTGTGGAACGTCACGTAGGGGACTTGAATTCCATGAAATCAATTACCGTCCGTTCATCCCGTTTAGTTTCCGAACTTGCAACATGATCAACACGGAACATTCGATGACACTCGTACTTGCAGCTTGCAGCTCGGTGTTGCAGTCCTTCTTGTCGGTGTCAGCTTGCAAAGGGTTGTTGTTGTAGGGAGATCCATGGCGAATCTTGAGGATGTCCTCCCACCAGGCTTGTGTGTTGTCCATCACCTGCCGCATCAAGTCAACTCCCTCAAAAATGTCTTTCTCCATGTCATCTGACAAAACCAAATCCAAAGGCCGGTCCGTCTCTCCCAAAGGACGGTCGAAACCACCGATGCTGTCCTTTTGAGGCAGGGGATCTGCCAATTCAACGAATGCGATGACCGTTTTGCCTTTTCCAGCTGATCCGCCACAGTCTCGCACCACCAGCTTTTTGACAGTGGTCCCTTGCATGCGCATCATGGGCTCCGGCTTGTCAACCACAGCTTTGTCGTGTCCTAACGCCAAGCACCCATCAGTGTTGTCGCCCCATGCGTAAACATTCCCATCGCTTGTGAGTGCGTAGCTCATGTGGTCCTTAAATTGGCAGAAATCAAAAGGGCGGCGTGCAAGCCTGCCGTAACCTTCAGCACCTGCAATCTAATTTGGGCCGCTGTTGTACAGTATTTCACTTACACGTGTCAGATGAATCGCCCCCCTGCATCTTGACTCATGTATCAAGTTCCAGTAGTCTGGACTTTGGATCAGGGAGAATTTGGAGAATCACGCGGATTAACCACTCATGATAAGGGTGTGCAAAACATCCTTGCATACAATACAAAGTGAGACAAACCGCGTCAAAATGCCCAAGACATTTGTCACATGCTATGTTCCTGTACGATTTTTTTCAACAATGCATTTATGTAGACACTCTGTACCTCATCTAAACTTCAGTTTCGCTGCCACACTTCCCTGTTCACTTCACTTCCCTGTTCCCCCTCTTTTTAAACAGTGCCCGAAGTGCCCGTGGCACGGGCCAGCCCAACTATTCAGGACGAAGAATCCCTGCATTCATGCAGGCTGGGTCCGAGGCAAATATCAAAATATGCGTGTTGCAATGTGCGCGCAGCTGTGTAGACACACGCGCACACACCTATACATTCTCCCGCTATCACCAACCTTGATGTACTGTTAAGATGCGGATTCTGTGGGCAAAATATAAGCGCTACTTCGGCCACATACTTGCTCTTGAGAGGAGCTGGCCGTGGCAGTGCTCCTTTTCAGATTTTTCAGGGTGTTTTGAGATTGAACACTGAAGCACATGCAAGAACCTATGGCGTGCTGCAACGTGGAATAACATGGAATAGGCGGGTTGCATTTTCCTCCTACGCGCGTTTTGAATTTTTTAAAGAGAAACACAAATTCAAATAGTTTTGTAAGGTACTATAATATTTCAGCAGAGGAGATGCAACAACAAATAGTTGCACAGGAGGAGGAGGTAGGGGATTTCTTTGACGGCCTTGCTTTGCATTTCGATGTCAGACGAAGGCACCGACCAAATACAAACATAATTGCTCCTCCTGGATATGACAGGTCTCTTTTACAAAACGAAAACCTTCTTCAAAAAACTAGACGACGGTTGGCCCGAGAGCGAAAAAGACGTTTTTCAAGTAGCTCTGAGTATGGTAGTCGTAAAAAATAGTCGGTGAATGGTTGGCGAATTTTAAATGAGCTATGGAGGGATAAGTTGTGAAAAGTAAGATTGACTAAGAAGAGGATACATGTGACAACCCATGCATATGCACTGTGCTGCTTGGTAAAGGGCATCATATGACACGTGTCTTGCACCCAAAGAGAGACATAGATAGAGAGAAAGGGAAAGAAAGAGAGAGAGAGAGAGAGAGGGGAGAAACAAAGGGAGATAGAAAGAAAACATTAAAACATATAATGTGAGCAGCAAAAGTGCACAGGAGGCTCGGTACCATGATGCTGCGAATGACATGTGTTATCTCATTTTACTATGGCCGGCGCATACCCAACAGAGCGCATTAGCCCATCACCTCTGATGTCATATTCTGATGATAGCCCGAGCTATCGCCAGAACGTTGGCCTCAAGTTATGCGTATCTGTGTCCCCCACCACCGGCCAACGTGGTGCCAGCCGCGTTGGAGCAAGCTGTTTGGTAAGGACAAGCAGAAAGAAACAGCATGAAAAATGCAGCGCGAGAACATGCCGATGGCAAGGAAACATAAATCGATCCTTGCAGTCACATGTCACCTCAACAGGAAACAGATATCAACTTTCAATGCAGCCGTTCCAAATCACAAAACGCAATCCCCAAAGAATGAATGCAAGACCATATCCACAGAAGAAAGGTGTCGACAGTATTGCTTTAAATGCATGTCTGCATCCACTTGAGGCTCCCACCAAAAGATCGGCAACAAAAACCAGTTGAATGACTTTTGCAATGATAATGCGGTTGCAAAAACTTCTGTGTGTAAAAGCTTCTGCGTGTAAAAGCGTCTGCGTGTAAAAGCGTCTGCGTGTAAAAGTCTCTGTGTGTAAAAGCTCCTGTGTGTAACAGCTTCTGTGCAAAAGCGTCTGTGTGTAAAAGGTTATGTGTGTGAAAAGCAATACGAAGGATACGATGCAAACTAGTGCCTTGTACTTGTAAAAAATATTGTCTTGATACTACTCTTCTCGTCTGCCTAAAATACATCTTTAATATATTGTCTTGTAACATAGTTAATATAGTGTCTCAATACTAACAACAGAAGACACATGAAGACACTGCTCCTCTACGCTCTCGGGCCCTACAGAACATGGAACAAACACAAAACACAATCTCCAAAGAATGAACGCAAGACCATATCCACAGAAGAAAGATGTCGACAATATTGTTTTGAATGCATCTCTGCATCCACTCCACAATCGCAATTTTACTTCAGTTTTTGACGTCCAACGTCCATTTCGCGCGAAAGGGTTGCGACTGACACCTCAAAATCGCAATTTTACCTCAGTTTTTGACGTCCAACGTCCATTTCGTGCGAAAGAGTTGCGACTGACACCTCAAAATCGCAATTTTACCTCAGTTTTTGACGTTCAACGTCCATTTCGCGCGAAAGGGTTGCGGCGGGTACCTCAAAATTGCAATTTTACTTCAGTTTTTGACGTTCAACGTCCATTTCGCGCGAAAGGGTTGCGACTGACGCCTCAAAATCGCAATTTTACCGCAATTATTGACGTTCAACGTCCATTTCGCGCGAAAGGGTTGCGGCAGATACCTCAAAATTGCAATTTTACTTCAGTTTTTGACGTTCAACGTCAATCTCGTGTGAAAGGGTTGCGGCGGATACCTCAAAATCGCCATTTTTACCCCAGTTTTTGACGTTCAACGTCCATTTCGTGCGAAAGGGTTGCGGCGGACACCTCAAAATCGCAATTTTACCTAGGTTTTGGACGTCCGATGTGCACGAAATGCTGCGCCTGTCACGTTTCGTGGCGCTTCGGCGGCACCGTCCCGCCTTAAGAGAGAGATAGAAAGAAGAGCGAGAGAAAGAAAGGAGGAGAGAGAGAAGATCTGCAGATGTGAAGGTGCGAGGAAGTAGATCTGCAGATGTGAAGGTGTGAAGATGTAGATCAGCAGATGTGAAGGTGTGAAGATGTAGATCAGCAGATGTGAAGGTGAGAAGATGTAGACCTGCAGATGTGAAGGTGAGAAGATGTAGACCTGCAGATGTGAAGGTGAGAAGTTGTAGGTCTGCAGATGTGAAGGTGTGAAGATGTAGGTCTGCAGATGTGAAGGTGTGACGATGTAGATCTGCAGATGTGAAAGTGTGAAGATGTAGATCAGCAGATGTGAAGGTGTGAAGATGTAGATCTGCAGATTTGAAGGTGTGAAGATGTAGATCTGCAGATGTGAAAGTGTGAAGACATAGATCTGCAGATGTATTACAACGGCTGCTTTTTTACGAAGAACCCTTCGCAGGCGCTCTCGGGAACAAAGCAGAATTGCGATGGAACATGCTCATTCTTTGGAAAACGCATTGTCTTCAGCAGCACTACTCAAAGCACCCCATTTGAAAACTGTGCTCAGTAGCATCAAACCACGCTTTCCCCTATGAGAGAACCTCAGGAAAGCATTTTTCCAAAGGAAAATGGGATTCTCTTTCCACATATACAAGCAAGCAACAAAGGCGTTGGTTGTATCTACTTTCCTATTCGTAGAGTACTTGTGACGCAGTTGGTCAAAAGCTAAAACCTGCATATTCTGTTCTACTTAAATTTGCTGAAAACACAACAGGCAAACAACATTCTCAAATTGCAAGGAAATATGCCGTACCTTGAATCGCCAATTGCATATGTTTCCTTTGTCAGAAAATGACAATCTTCAAATGTGCTCAAAGCTAATAAAACTTGTTGAAAATTACAATTGTCTACATATTAAGCTAAATGCAAGCTGTGATAAGCGGTAAACATGAAGCAGTGCTGCAATGCGTTTAATCAAACAGACTCATGTGCAAAGAAATGCAAAGCGTATATATCTTTTTTCATCTGCTGTACTGATGGTGTGAAATGCGGAAAACGGCTTGCATGTGACCCTAGTCGTGGCTGAGTGGCGGCGTGAAAAAAACGCCAGTACGATTTCTCAAAGGCCTTCAGATCGCATCGTGAAGAAAAGAAATAACATTTGGAAGTTGAAACGGTACGCTCGTTCAGCACACTCCGACTGTTTGTAAAGAAACGCGCTTATGGCAAAAACCATGCTGCACATGGCATGCCTTGTGATGTTTGATAGGTCGGTGCAGCATGACCATCCAGTAAATACGTATATATATATATATATATATAATTATATATGTATACAGTATGCATATCCAGATCTAGCTGCCTGGCTGAAACCAAGCACAGAACAGTGGGAAATTGAGCTTAGCCAGGGATCCTTGATAACTTGATGACGCAGCATGGCAACCGTCCCTAATTAAACAAATAAAATGCATTGTTTTGGTCGGTTTTGTTTTTCTCGTTTGTCACTTGCACCCCTTTGAAGTTAATTGCGACCACCACCTTGAATAGGGTTGGTCATTTAGTAGGGCAAACCACCGCGACATCTTGTAGAGCTGCATTTCCCAGAATCTGCTCACAAGATCTCACAAGCATAGAATGGGTTTATTTATATTATTTTAAGTTATAATTAAGTTTAAGGATATACTTACTGTTAGGGACCCCTGTTGTTCCAGCAACTTTTGGCAATATTTGGTATGAGTTCGATTTAACATCATTTTAGCACATCAACTTTTCAAAAGAGCTGCAATTTCCCAAATGAGTATGGGTCTAACTTGGGTACCTCAACAATTGCATTGTTATAAAATACAAGAAAAAGAATATACGAAAATCCGTGGCCACCCCGGTTGTTCAAGTTTGACCCATACCCAAATCTAATTTCCGGAGTAAAAGCGCACACACACACACACGCATTCACGCATGCACGCACGCGCGAGCAACGTCGAGAAACATTTTCTGAGAAACGCAGCGGTCTAAATTCAAAACTGTCGTGCAGTGGGGTTCTATAAAGTGAGGTGCAAAGCATGCAGCAGTTCTTGCAAAACCGTACGCATGCCTGCAAGCCCGAATCTGGAGAGTACAGTGGTAAGTGTCGGCGTCGAGCATAGAGGTTGGGCACAGCGATGCGCATTTAGGGAAACCGGAATCGGGTTTAGGAGAATGAACAAGGATAAAACGCGTGCATTTATATGGGCGATAGCCGGCCAGTGTCATTGTGGGACATTCAATTTAAATTCTAAACCGAACCACTGACTGCCATGGGCGAAGATTCTCACCAAGGATCCAGTGCCAGAACTTGAATCACCGTTTTTGTTTGCAGCCCCTCCACTGCTACGGGTTCGTACCGGCTTTGTTGGTCGCTGAGGCCAAGCTGGCCTTTGTTGTTGTCGCCCCAAGCATAGACCTGCCAAGTCCATGTGCTACGAGCTAGTAGTGTCTAATGTATTGTTTCATCTTGTTTCTCTGTGTTTGCTAATGCAGCATGATGAAACCAGTGAAAATTCGAACTGCGGCCGTTGGGTTTCAATCCCTTTATTGGCAGGAACCGCAACGCTGGAACCGTGGAACCTTGCAACCTGCTGTTGGGCAAAGCTGGGTTAATGACCAAAAGAAATTTGGAAGTCAAAATTCCGACAATATGGACACATGGAAAGCAGAGGTGGGACGAGTCAGAGAAGAGAAAGGCAGAAGAAAGTAGACGCAGGCGCGCCAAAAGGTAGACACGTCGCCAAGCACTGTGTTTTTCGAATTTCGATGTTTTTTGTGCCTCCGGAGGGTCGAAAAGTAAGCTCGCCAAAGCGGCGGGTGCAGAGAGAGCCATCTGGCCAGATGAGAGATCAAAGATTTCACACTGTCATTTGGAAAAGACTAAAAACATTTCACGTCCGGAAGAATTTTGGCAGTGGGGATGTCTAAGAAATGCACGCCATTGTAGCGCTAAGCACATTTGGGAACAAACATGTTAAAAGCACCTCGAGATCAGAGCGCTTTTCGAAGTTGGGACGTGCAAAGTGCACGTCGTTGTGGCGCGAAGAGCATTTCGAAGTCAAAATGATAAAAACATCCATGTGTAAATTAGGGTGGAACCTGGGTAGCTGCCATTTTATAATGCTAAAATTGTTTGTCAGGGGGGTACTCCATCTATAAAGTACTCCTTGGGGTACACTTGTAGAATCACAGGCCTATAAACTGGAAGGTACCCAGGTTTCATTTTTGCAAACCACACTTCTCAGCAAGGCTTCCAAAATCATCTCTATAAAATGCTCATGATCAAACCACATCAAAGCATAGCAAAACTGACTGCTCATGATTTCTTACAGCATTATGTTGAATAAATCTCTGTCAATGGTCATCGGAGTTTGAACTTGCTGGCATTGCTGCAACGGACGGCATACCGCTTTATACCGCTGCAATCAAATTGTGTTGATACATGTTGATACAAAACCTTGAAAAAACAATGCAAACGGGCACTCTATAAATTGGAAGTTCAGCCACACCACACATGGAAACACCCTATCTATAAAATAGCACCACAACATTGCACAGCCAACATTGTGCTACAAAGTGGAGGCTTGTGCCACCCCTACTAAATGAACAGCTTTCCTGCAGTAAGACCCCAAGTGGCCTCTATAAAGTAGTACTCGCCCAAAAAGAAAATAGATAAAACATATCCTGATAAACCATTCAAGAACCACTCCAAACATTCTGTTTTCCATTTTATAGTGCCTGAAAAAATGGTTTAGCAGGGTACCCGGGTGCGACCATTTTATAGAGGAAATGGCCACCAGGATATAAAAACATTTCATGCTCGGACCATTTTTGATCACTTTTGGACGTTGACACGTCCAACAGGTGCACGCCGTTGTGGCGCGAAGCAAGTCAAAATGTACAAAACACACCATGTTCGGACCACTTTTTGGGAGTCGAGATGTCGATCGAAAAAGTGCACGCCGCTGCAGCGCGAAGCACTGTCGAATTCAAAATGCGCAAAGCACACTAGGTTCGGACTTCGGACCACGTTGGGAAATTGAGATGACGAAAAAGTGCACGCCATTGGGGCGCGAAGCACATGTCCAAGTCAAAATATGCAAAGCACACCGCGTTCAGACAACTTTTGCGAGTTGAGATGCCGATCGTAAAAATCAACGGCCATGTGGCGCGAAGCACATGTCGCAGTCAAAATGCGCAAAGCACACTAGGTTCGGACCACTTTTGGAAGTTGAGATTACAAAAAGGCGCGCGCCATGAGGGTGCAACGCACATTTGGAAGCCAAACTGTGCAAAGCACGCCGCGTTCGCACCGCTTTTGGAAGTTGCGATGTCGAAAAAAAGCGCACGCCGAAGCACATGCTGAAGGCAATACGCGACCACTTTTGGGCGCTCAACCGCACCACGCAACACTTAAGTACAACTGCTTCTCCTCCTCCCCCTGCTGCTGCTGCTGCTGCTGCTACAGCTACAACTACCACTACACTATAACACAACATATACAACTGACCTACAACATCGTACAAGATCCTACACCTACACCGACAACGGCAACTACACTAGACTACATGACTCCATCTCACTACAATACTCTAGACAAAGACATGGCATCAGGTTGACAGTCAAGAGCTTGTTGCTGCGAAGCACAGGAGGCCTGCCTGTCACCTGTAGGCACAGCCTTTGCTCCGCTCTATAAGCTATAAGCGTTGCAAATTTGACACTTCCGGGTCCGGCTTGCCCGGGTACCACTTGTAGTTGTACGGTAGTCTCATGGAAGTTGCAGTTGTGGCTGTAGCTGTAGCCTAGCTG